AATCTTCCCACTCTGAAGGGTGAATAAAAAAATGATTGTTTACAGATCCCCGAAACGCCGGCTTCGTGTGGATGAGAGGCTGGTTTGGTGAAAAATTTGTGCGTTTAGGCCAGGGTTCGTTTTTGTGTGGACGGGGCCTTACCTGTGGAGGCCTTTGCTGAAACGGGGGTTGTTGCAGAGATTCCACAGCTGATTCCACATTATCATGTAGAGATGAAATATGGACACTGGTTCCCAATGTCCAAAAAGTATGATCATGGCATATGGTGCAACACATGTAAATGCAAAACATGTCGGGGGAAGTTCTAATCAATGAGTCACTGTACGTACAGATCTCCAATGGCTATTTGGGAGCACAGTTACTGTACATGGAAAACTTAAAGGACTGTGGCCCTCCAGGGTACTCTCTGCTTGGGTATATTTACAAGGAGGTACCACCAAATCTGACCAACATACAGACACTGTTCTGGATGAACCGAGGTGGTCTGTTTTTTGCAATGCTTTCGGGGCTTTTCCAGAAATTGATCCTCTCACCAAGCTGATTCAAAAGTTCTGAAATTTAACAGCAATCCATGGTTAAGCTTCTATTATAAAAATGCCAACAGCAACCCACTAAATAAGGTAAACATTCCCACTATATATATTAAGTGCCAGCACAGGAATGCCATATTATGCTATGCAATAACTGCTTATTCTTAAAGAAGCGCAGCACTAAGGTCTGCTGGGATGATGACGTCATCAACCGGAATTAAAAACGATTCCTTCTTAAAAAACAAATCAGCACAAACGCCCTGCACAAATCAAGTAACACTGAAAAGCAGATCATTTTGATTCAGTTCTGAGCTTAATTGGTTGTCTTCTGGAACACCTAAAAAAATCTTATCTAATAATATCTCTGAAACAAAAGTAGAACACTTTTTTTTTAATGATCATAGCTGCACAAACCTGGACTACGACCAACCATTTAGTCTATTTACTTTTTTTAAGTGGGTGGGGTGTCAACTTCACGAAGCTGAAGCTCCTCCTATGTGATGGTCCGGGGTGTAAACTCTGCATTTGAAATGCAGAGCGGGGCTCACAGCAGACACTGTTCACGGTCTGAATGCACCTTTAGAAGAAAATCTGTGTTGTTGGCTTGCAGGTGATTGAAGATGAATACATATGACAATGTCTTTGAAATTGATTTTTTAGGGAACATCTTTCATATCCATAGAAAAGGGTCTTAGTTACAATTAGACATTTAGGTACAGCTCATGAAAAATGGGAGCAACAACAAAAGTAATAGGTTTTTATTTTAGTTTAGTGTGATAACACCAATACAAATGTTTAATTTAATTTTAAAACAAATATCTTCACACGCATATACATAAAAGCCATATAACCACTTGACAATTAGTTTGAAACAAGTAGTAAATATTTTGTTGTTGTAGAACCCTTTTTACCCAGTCCAAATCCAATGGAGTTATTGTTTCTCAGATAACGTATACATAGGAGGAATCGTGGTTAAGTATGAACATAATTTATTCCTGTCATGTTTAACAAAATCATTAATATAAGCACAAATTATATAAGAAGATCTCACCCTATATCAGGCCCTTGAGTCTTTGGCAATGTCAGGGGAAGATCTCACTGCTGTCTTTCCCTTTTTATCTTAAAGTCAGTCAAATAAAAAGAAAGTAATCTTCAACAGTTTAAAGCAAGTTACTTTAAAGATGACGTGTTAAATAATTTTTTTTAAAGCCAGTTATTATAAAGTATTTTTACAAAAAATATCAATAAAATGATCTAGATCTACAATAATTAAACATACTTTGTAGCAGAAATGGGATTCAAATTTTGAACACACAGTTTCTAATTGCTATGACTGTCTAATTTATTGTGTAGAGTTGACAAATATCAAAAATAGCTATTGCCTCACTTGTGGCAGATAGAGATTTTGGACTGTAACAAGAGTTCTTATTTGCTCAGAACATAGGTAAGAACACAGAGTAAAGCAGCGGTGTTAGGAGAGTAATGTTTTCTGCCTCAGGAAGTAATTTTCACAACTGATTGCAATTATTTGGATGGGTAAGCAACTTCATTTGGACACACATGTATTTGCAATAGACTGATGGCTACACTACCCTTGTGTGCCCCATTTTATTTACTATTGTTTTGCCTTTTCATAATGTAACTAAGTTTAAGTAATCACCAGCAGCTGTCCGATTACCTGGGCTATTCTAGTGCTTTTTAAAATTACCATCAGAGGGACATATGTAGGACAAAACAACATTTACCATATTCTTTATTATGGGAGGAGGTGGGTGGAGGTTATGTGGCAGGTGGTGGGCTAAGGTCATCTCCCAGGCATCAACAAATCGCACATTGACCTCTTTAAATACTGTCCTTAGTATCTTGTCACGTTGAATTGCAAACCAGTCACTGCTGGTAAGTGAATCGTACAGTGTTAGTGCTTTGGGGTTAGCAGTCCTGATGATGATCATTGTATCTGGTGCTCTGTTCAAAAGCCGCAACACTGCCCTTCTTATGCTCAGCAGGCGTCTGATATAGACCTCAACAGGAAAAGAACTGAAGTGTGCCCAGACTCCTATAACTACAGTAGTGTCTTTGCCACCAACTACACCATCCAGTTCACTTGCAATGTAACCTGTATTTATAACTGGCAAGTCACGAAAACGAGCAGGAGGAGCGTGGCAGCGGAACTTTACTAAGGTGTTTTTTGTGTAATCCAAGGCCATGAAAGGTCCTGTCTGCTTTGATGTTTTGAGGTCAAACTTCTTGAGATCTGAAAAAGGAAAACAAAATAGATTAGAGTATGAAGCACTTTCAGCTGTTACTAGAAATTTCCCCTAACAGAGGTCACTAAACGTGGGGCATTTCTCAATGTGCATATTAGTGCATTTTCATGTGCTAGTAAAACATCATTAGTCTCAACCCTAGTATTGTTCCAATTCACAAGAACACAAGACCAAGAACCAACAGAAACCACGGATGTTGTTCTCGCCTCTCCCTCTTTACCGAGCATGTATCTAGGCAGACTTGTGCATTCTTCAGTGCGACACCTGTCCAGCATGCACCGCAGCAGCAGCAGCTTCAAGGGTAGCTCAGAGAATTTAATTAAAGCTTCATTTTCTCTAGCTGTTGTTCTATAAAAGTACATTTTAAGGTCATTTGATGCAAAAACATTATAATTTTAAGCTTTACTATATGGCCAATTAACTGATTTAGTGCGTAATTTAACAAAAATTCTTTACCTATATTGAGAGGACCGTGTCATACAGTGCAATTCCAAGGATAAGCGCAGCCAGGCCTAACGTTAGCAGCAGTAGCCCTCTCTTTAATGCATTTTTTTGTTTTACTTGGCAAGAACATGAGTCCATACACGTGTTCTTGTGAGAAACAGCATTGCTTTCTTGCGCTACTTTGCAGAAACAATGTCAGTCACTTATTTTCTCTGGTCTCTTTCTTGTTCTTACCAGTGAGGACATGTTTAGCTGCAAGTCACTGTTTAATCGCTGGTTGTTTCCTGAAAAGTTGTTATGGTATGTTCACAAATGGCAAAATTTTGGGGGAAAACCTGTTCTGATTAAGAGAGATGGCATACATCCCTCTTTGGACAGTGTAGCTTTTCTTTCTAGGAAGATGGAAAAGGGTTGAGTCCTCTAAAACTCTGGCAACCAAGGGTCCAGATCAGGAAGGAGCTCTCAGAAATAAGATGCAGCAGTCTCTATGAGCTATTGAGGGAGTGAGGATTAACTTGGAGGTTTTAGAGAGAATGATGAGCAAGAAGGTCTAACAAAGGACACACCTAGTCTCCAGGCTAGGCTAACCAGCATAGAGCCCTCCGAGATCAGAGCCTGGGCCAGGCTGAACTTTCGATGTCTCAGCTTTCCAAAACAGAGACCAACATACCTTGCAGGTCTGGGAATTTAGGGAAAATATTTCCAGCTGAAAATTTCGGGTTATTTCTGATGTAGGGAAATTATTCTTGAAAATATTATTTTACCAATTGTTTTATTTACATCTTGGATTTGAATTGTGAACTGACTTGAAAACATTCTGATCGCTCCGAATTTGTGCAAAAGCTTATCTAAAATCCCTCATGCCAAACTCCTGAATATGTCATGTTTGAGAACTTTGAGAATTCACAGTAATGTGATTCTCATATTCCTGTGATTTGTTCTGTTTCTCTCATAGACATAACTATGGGGTCAACTGTTGCTGTGAATAATTCTGTGTTTTCCTTTATCCCTTTTGGCATAAAAACCTACTAAGTGCTCATCTGCTTAACTTTTTTCCCTTCTATGTTTCCTTTGTGTGTCTGCTTCTGTCTTCTTGAACTCCAAGTTGGCCTCAGAAGGTACCTCACACTAAGCCTAGTTTTGCTGGAGGTTTCTTCCTCCTAAGAGTTTTTCTAATCTACATGAATGCTCAGTGAGAAGGATTGCTTCAGTGAAAAACACAATGAAAGAAAAAGTCTACTGTTGCTACATTACAATTCTAAAAAAGTATTTGTATCTAAGAAATCAGCTGGGTTTCTTTAAAGAGACATTGAGTTTGTTTTACCTGAAAAATATCTTTAAATTTGCCTTTTTTTAACCATTTATTAATAAAACATTGTTTAATGAGCAGAATGACACCTCAGTAGTTCAGGACCGATGCATCTATAAGTTTGTAGTCTATTTTACTGAAAGTACTTCGGGTCAGAAATTCACCCGCTGTTTACTGGATGTGACATCAAGCATGTCCATATTAAATGGGTCCTAACTAGTAAACAATCAAAATGTTAAATTCAAGTTGGATTTTGTGGATACTAAGAAGTGACAAGCATCCAGCTCAACTCAGCTACCAATGGCAACTCTGGGTAAGGTGAATAAGTAACACAAAAACAAAAAACAGTTCTGTTTTTTGGCCACAGGTAGCAGTATCTTTAGAAAACTCTGTATTGCCTCTTTAAATAACATAAGAAAATAGAAAATAACACTTTTAACCAGTCTGACTGGATGATTTTAATAGATGGTCTCAGTAACGTGCATTATGATTACAAGTGTTGTGTGTTAGGAAACTACCTGGAGTGTTTGTGATTAAATATTCAAACCACTGCCTAATGGTGGAGTCTCCAAGCAGGTGCAAGACCTTGCCTTTCAGACACTGGCTAATTGCAGAGTTGTTGGTAAACTGGCGAACCGTGGTGCCATCTAGTGCTCGCCATTCTCCCTGGTAGTAATAACCAGCATGTTGAGTCCTCACACTTTTCCCTGCAAATTCAGAAAACAGTTAAAATACATATTTAGAAGAAAACAGTATTTTAACTACTTTTATTTATATTAATTATATGTGTGTACACATATATCAACAGCAGTTTTACTTGGTACATGTTTAGGAATTGTTTCATTTAGATCTGCAAAAAAATCATAAAGTAAATTAAATCTAGCACATTATTCTACATTTCAAAATAAAAAAATATCAACCATGAGGCCCTCTCAGACTAGGAAGAGCATATAACAAAATTATTATTTAGCTTTCCTCTGGATGAGCTGTCTCGGCTTGCCATGCCCCCTACATCTGCAACCAGGACAACCAGTCAGACTTCGTAAGGACAGCAGCTAGCAATTTGTATTAAATAATACATTAGATGAAGGATATAGTTTGACAACTGGTCTGGTATAGACTGCTCTGGACAACTGATTTCCCCTTATGACATTATATAGAGAATACTTTTCACGCAGAGGGTTTTGAGCACAATTAAGTTAAAAGTTGGAGAAAGGCCATGATAGAGGTGAAAGGATTGTTTCATTTGTGAATGACATACACAGGCTTTAGGACACATAACTGTTACAAAATGTTTATAATGCGAATATTTAAAATATGGGTCCTTTAAGTGATTTCATGCATGGCACCAGGAGTCTCCATTACATATTTGGAAAAGATGATTACTAGTTATTGTAGCTGACAGTAATTAATATCTTTGGGGTTTTCAAGAAAAGAAACTCACTTTTCTTTAGGTAAAAGATATACTTTACAAAATGACATATTTCATTCTAGACCCCTGTTTGGTCATTATTCTTATCAAAGTTGTGGTTGTGGTGTATTTTATTCCTTTCGGTCGGTAGTTCTCAAACCTGTTCCTCAAATACTACTACCATGCCTGTTTTAGATTTATCTCTGTTGCAGCACACCTGATTCAAATAATGAATGAAGGACAGTGGTGCAATGATTTCGGCAGGTCTGATTCCTCAGAAGATATAACCTGCTTGGCTGCACTCTGTTCTCGTAACCACTCATCTGATCCACCTGCATCTATCAGTATATAACCAGCCTTCAAACCAGACATCACTGCCAGATATTTTGAACCAGCTCTATTCCTGCATTCTGAGTCCTGACTTCTTGCCTGTTTGCTTGACCTGATATGTCCTTGTTCCTGGTTGGGACCCATTGTATTCCCCTGGACAAAACTTTAACCAACACAGAAGGATTCCCTGGAGACATCCTGGATGAACTTCTGAGCAAAACAAGCCTCCGTGACATAACACAACAACAGGCAACACCGGTGATTCTCCATTCTCAGATTCAAGTGCTCACCATGTCTGCTCTTTTCATGGTTGCTAATATTCCCTCTCTTATTACAAAGGTGGTGAGATCCAGCTCTGGTTTCAGACCTGTCTTTCAGTTGCAGTTTTCTAGATAACAAACTGTTAAACCATTACTCTGTGTTCTGGCAGACTTCTGGGTCCTCAGATTTCATTAGTTACAGATGATATTTGAGGAGCAAGATTTAGAACCACTGTTTTAGATTATGACATTGTTTAGTGGTCTGTTTTGGGGTTTCTATATAATGTGGTATTTTCTTTGTTGTAGTCAGTGGTGTCATTCTTGTAATTTCTGTTCATCTATTGCTGTCTTAAATTTAATTTGCCTTGTTTCCATCTCTCACATACAAGTTGAACAGTCCATTGTTCAATCATAATTGTGGAAACCTTCCTTACTAATTCATGTTCTACTGTACATGCTAAGCTACGTTTGCCTCTTGTAGTTCAGCATGTATTATCTTTGGTAACAGAAAGCTCTAACTTCTTTCTTTGTTTTAGAGCTTTGTTTACACTTCGCTCCCAAAAACAAAAATTAAGAAATACCTGTTGCAGAACGAGACTTTCAGAGATACCAGGCTTGTGTTGTATTGAAGTGGGCTGGACTACAAACAGGCAGTGAGGAACTTTTTTGACTATATGTCCATCTGTTGACTCTGCACATGGATTATCTCTATTTTTCATGTATTACCTTAATAATATTACGTAGGTTACATGTTAAGGCAATTTTTTTCTCTAACAGTTCATCTAATTAGGACAGTTCTTCAATCAAGATAAACAGTTATCCTGTTAATTATGTACATAACAAAGATTCAGGAATGAAATTGGGGCACAGACAGAGTGGATCATTCTTAAAACTGAGATCTATGCCATCTATGGTCTACAATTTTTGTCAATATTTGTTGTCATGCCTCATAGTTACTGAATACATATATTATTAAGTGTTATTTAAAGTGTTTGTTCCAAGTGATCTCTTCTCACAAAAGAATTGAGGAGAGAAAGCTAAAAGGTGTAAATACAGAGGTTCCCTTTGCAAAATGATGTTTCCTACACTAACCTAAAAGTAGTATTACTCATGGAGAGCCACTGATGGACCGACCCAAATATGCGGTCGCACAATAAGAGGTGAGGACATTCATTTTAAACAAGTATCTCCAGGTTTTATTTGAGGGAATGTTTCTCAGGTTTCCAAAAAGTATGCCATAAGAAAATTCAGTTTTTGAGCATTGAATCTACCAAGGAACAATTTGAACTTCTGAGAGTTATTTGTTCCTTATATAGTTTTACATTGAACCCCAAAGTGCACAGTTTGATTCCTGTATAACTCTTCTCAAACAATTCTTCAAGTTGCATTTTAATTACCTGTTCTTTGTCTAAGGTCAGGCAAGAAGAGGAAAAGAAATGTGCTCGTGACATCACCCCACAGGTCGTCTGGAGCTGCATTTAACGTGTTATTAATAGTCTCTAGATGATAATGAATTTTACTTTTTTACTATAGTGGGGGAATAATGATTAACACAGTAAGATAAACACAAATCAAATTAATGTTTTGTCAAAAAAGCAAACAAATAAAAAAACACCATTTGAGTCAGAAGTACTTCACACACGACTAGAAAGAGCTGCTCCTGCTGGCCTAACATTAGCCCCACCTTTGTTAGCCTCAAAGGTCCACTGGTTGCCACGGTCCTCTAAACGTCTGAGCTTCTTTTTTACATACTGTGTGGCTTGGATTAAATTCAGTAGATCTATATATACAATATCAGTAGATATATATATACATATTCTCAAAGTTGGTTTGGTAGCTATTATCTGCCTTGTAAAAATCTTCTAAATCCCTTTTACCTTTTAGTTTGGGTAGAATAGTGATGCTGGAAGGCCCTCTTGCCTGAATGAAGACTTTCATGTTGACTCCCCTATAGCAGAGCATGGACAAATAATAAAACCTTGTCATGGAAAAAAAACTATTAACAAGAATGTGACATAGTCCATTTTACTTTACCTTTTTCAATAATTCGATTCTTTGAGGAACTTACAAAAATATAGGTAATGTCATTCCTACCAGTTTCTTAGGAGAAAATGTGATATTCACCATTTTTATCCTACTTCCAATCTTCTTTCAGGTGTTGCTGCTTGAAACTGCTCTAGTGGTAAGACTGGCATTCATTTTACTCCATAGTACCAAAGCTTCGTTATTACACAAAAGTGGAATGTTTGGGTCTGAATTCCTCCACTTAAAGTTTTGCCCTTAACATTTTTATGTTTATGCATTTTATGAGAGAGACTAAGAGTGCAATAAAGAGATGATAGATCTGGTCTTAAGATGTGCGGAGCACGTGCATATTAAAAAGGGATTTATCACTATTGTTCATTGACTGTTTTGGATCAAATATTTTTTATTGTTATTATTTTTATTCTTTATTTTATTTATACGTATGTAATAGTGCAACCATGGCATTTAAAGCCCTTGTGATTTCCTCCCCCCCACTGCTTGGCTTTTACCGCTCCTTTAATTCTGTTGCTACATTGGAAAAAATATTGCAAACCTCTTTTGGGGTTTACCTAATCACATTTAGTAACTTTAACACAATTGTCTCATGTTAGCAGTAGGGGTGTAAATAATAATAATCGTTTTGTATCGATGCATCGATCCAACAGCCGACGATCCGATGCATCGACACGTCTGCAAGAGAATCGATTCATGCTCCTGGGCGTAATTCTCCGGTAAACCTATTTTGCCCTCCTACCTCGCTTCCTGGTTATACTCTTACAGCAGTTTGTTGCAGTAAGCTTGACACAGACATTTTTAAATTATGCTCAATATTGAAGCGTGGTCTGTGCTACACACTGTGGGTTTAGATACGGCCGAGGCGGCGAGGAAGTGGGGGCGAGTTTAGTCCGACGACGGAGGGACATGAGGGCCAAAAAGAGCAGAGATCCAGGTGGAAAAAGGGTCCCAGCGTTCTCGCGCACCTCGCTCTTCTAGCAGGTCAAACTTCACGAGTTGTTTTCCGCAATTTCGGTCATAAAAACAAAACAAGCTGGCCTCCTGTCTGCGTCACTGTTTGCGGTCAACTACAATTTGGGAGAGGTGCAGCGGAGCATCTCTCAAGGGGGCGGGGACGTCTGGAACCGAGGTATTGCATTGCACTCATTGCACTGATTTTGTGCAGTATTTTTGCAGTATTTTTTGATGCAACTTTTCTACTTCTGCTATTTGCTGTTGTTTCTAAAAAAAAAATGCATAACGATATTACAGCTTTCATTGATTTATTTCAAACTTGAAACTTTGTTTAGCCTTTAAGGTGTAAAAAAAATAAAATAAATAATAATTAACCGATTAATCGAATCGAATCCCATCATGGTGTATTCTTGAGTATCGAAAATAATCGAATCGTTGGGTCAGGAAATCGATACTGAATCGAATTGCCATGATGGATGTGATTTACACCCCTAGTTAGCAGTGTAGGACATAAACAATTGTGTTAAAGTAACTAAATGTGATTAAGTAAATGCCAAAACTGTCACGGTCTTGGTTCTGTTAGGTTTTACTCTGCTCCATGTTTTCTAGACTCAGAGTTAGACAGATTTATTTTGTAATTTTGTATGCACGAGTGTATACAAACTGTCATGATCTTTGTGCTGATGGTTTGGTTTTTTCCTTTGCTCCTTGCTCCCCTGTCTAATTGGTTCTGCGGCTGATTAACGCCAATCATTTCTACCTGGTTCCTCTGCTATTTATGTTGTGTGTTTGTCTCCCATCAGCGCCAGGTTATTTGAGTGTTTTGGTGAGACGTATTCTAGCAATCTTTAGTCTGTTCTGTTTTCCTGAACAGACTAAAGATTGTAAAAAAAAAATTGTAATGTTTGGCATATATACTCGTCCTCTGCAGTTACTCTTTCCTGGATTGCTCTCTTCATTCGCTCCTGATGCATTGTGTCCCCCTTTGTTCTGTGGGACACATTTTCTTTGTTGAACATTCCCCTAATATTTACCAGTGTGTTATTCTATCACTGATTGAACTCCAAATTGGCCCCTTTCATTGTACTGAACATCAATTTTATTTTCTTACCTCTATGTGGTGCATACATCCATTTCATAAAATTATCTTATTTTGTTAATGTTTTGCTTTTGTGAAAAAGATTTCTAATATTTCATATTAGAAATATTATTGTCCTTATAAATACTATATTCAATGAAACAAGATATCCTGGTTATGTTAAACCAAACGTTAAATAGTAATTGTTAGGAATCCAGTTTGTGTGGGTTGTGTTTTTGTGTTGTTCTCTCCCTTACGGAGGACTATTTGAGCGGTGGACTGTCACTACCTCGATGCCAGAGTGTTTGGAGGTTTTGGGTACTCTAGCTAAGCTGAGTTTAGCTGAGTCTAACTGAGTCTTTGTTTTCACTGAGCCTAACCTTGTTTTTTGTCTTTGCCTTTTCGGCAGGAAGCCTTCCTGCAAGCTGGATTTTTGGCCTTCTTCCTCTGGAAGGATTGTTTGGGTCTCACACTGAGCAGGGGCTTAACATCCACAAGTTTTGTTCAAGTCATCCTGGATTTCCAAGTGATCAATAGCTCAATAGCTCCTCAGGATCAAACCAAGTCTATACCTGTCCGCCCTCCAACAAGTCTCTACCTCTGGATAAACCCACACTTACTGGATTCTGGGAAGAAAGTCTTAGTCCCATTTTCTCTGTCTCTCCAGCCATCACTCAAAGTTCCCACAGATCTTGAACCAACCGCTGATACTTCCCTTCCCTCTTCCGGTTCACCATTACACTGAGTTTTCTGAATCCAACCCCGACCTTGTCAATAAACCTGTTAAAACTTTTACCCTGGTTCTCAGAGTGGTTTACTGCATGTGGGTCAGATCTCTTAAGAAAATCATGACAGTAATATTTCCTTTACACTAATTTCAAATATTCCTAAGCAAAAATACTGTACAAATTACATTTTTGAACTATGCCTTTTTTGTAAGGAAACAGACCTGCTGTAAATTATGAATAGTTCCCCCCTTCGTCCCACTTGGGATTTTGTGGCTTGTGTTGTGGGTGAGATTTAAAAATGAAGCTAAATATGTAGCTCATGCCTTACTCATTTTTCATCTTCACCAACCATCATGTTAAAGCAGGAGCACTTTAGTAAGATCTGGAGATATCAAGTTACTAAAGTACCATGGACTGAATAGTCTTGGTATATTTCTACCCAAGATGTTTTCTTTTTAATAAATGTTGCTATACAAAGTTATGGTGGTTGATTTTGCAGTTGCACTTACTTTTGAAAGAGCTTGTCCTCCATGGGCTTTAATTTTTGATCGGTTCCTGCAGATGAGTGGATGATCCTGTGTTCACATTTAAGTTTTTTTGGCTTGTAGCAGAACCAGGGCTCGCCTGTGCGAATATCAGTGTAGTTGCAAAGCTGTTCCAGGGTTGCGTTTAGGCAAACATTACAAGTGGTAGATTCAGTAACTGAATGTGAGCGGAAAACACTTTTAAAATAAATTCTGCCAGGTTGCTCCTGGGTGATTCTTTCTAGCACAGTGACTGCCTCGCTGGGGTGGACCAGGGTTACCTTTTTGGAAAAGAACAAAAAAGTTGAAAAAAAAACTTTATCAAACAATATTAAAGTTCCCTTATTTCTTCTTATGTTACAATATGCTTTCTTTGTCAAAATCATGCCCACAATGGTATTTCACTTGGTTACAGCATATCTAAATCATCCTAAAAAAATATGCTCTCTTAAAAGCAGACCCTCCCCGTTTCTCCCTGTATTACCTTCCCTCAACTACCTTAACTATGTCAAGTCTGCCCAGTAAACCACACACCCGAATTTGTCCAATCAGCAACCAGTGGTATATGACAGATGGGGTTTACTTCAGTTCAGGTTTAGACAAATTGGCTGTTTTTGCAAATAACATAAAAAGCAACAACAGTTATTCTTTTTTGGATTATGTTGAAATTGTAAAATATGTTTTTGGGCTGTGAGAGGTCTCTGACTTTGTTCAGCATTTCTCAGAATGTCTGTTTGCCAGAAGTGGCGTGCCATAGCAATGTCATGACACCGCCTTAGCCATACGGGTTGTGCTGGTGTCCAGTGAAGGCACGCGTCTTTCCTTTGTGTTGCACAAGTACTACCACAGAAGTATAAACATTTTATAATAGATGAGTACTCTGTTGTGCCAACACATACCCAATTGGACACGTACTAACTGTTCAGTTAATTTCAGTTTATTTAGTCATTAGAATTAATATTGAATAACATAAATGCAAGTAATTGCACAACACTAGACAGAGCCTAGTTCATTGTCTCTGTCTAGAGTTGTGCAATTTTTTGCATTTATGTTAGTTAATATTAATTCTGTTGGTGTAACAGAATCAGAATAAATTACTTAAATGAACCCAACAAGCAAATAAAGAAAGGTAGTTCTGTTCTAGGAACCCCTTTAGAATCTGTGGAGATAATTTGCAGAGACAGTATAAGTTTTTGTCTTTGGACCAGAGTCTTTGAAAAAGAAGCTGATTAATCATAATTTCATCTGGATGTATTGAAAGGGTCTCAGGTAATAACTTAAAAATCTGGTGCTTTGTCTAACAGGACTTGTAATTTAAACTCCATCACTCCACATCAAACAGCTTTCTAGAATTGTCTATTATATCTTTATGTATAATAAAATATTGCAGAAATTAGTAATGTCTTGAGCAGGATGCTGAGAAACTAGTCCATGCATTACTTAAAAGCTGGACTATTGTTATTCTTTACTATCAGGAAGTCCACAAACTGTAGTTTAAAGCCTTTAGCTGATCCAAAATACTGCAGCCAGAGTTCTAAAGAAAACAAAGAGAAAAAGAAGAGAGAGCTCATGTTTCAAATTCATTACCTTCTCTTAATTGGTTTCCTATAAAATACAGAATTAAATTAGAATTAAAACCCTTCTTTCTTCTCACATACAAAGTCCTAAATAACTTGTTCCATCTTAGAGATCTGATTGCTCCTTTTGTTCCTAACAGAGCACTTCGCTCTAGATCTGCAGGTTTGCTAGTGGTTACTATTGTCATGATCTTGGGGCTGATTCTTTGTGTTTTTTTTACTCTGCTCATTGCTCCCCTGACTAATTGGTTCTGCGGCTGATTAACGGCGATCATTTAAACCTGGTTCCTCTGCTATTTATGTTGTGTGTTTGCCTTCTATCAGCACCAGGTTATTTGAGCGTTTTAGTGAGACTAACTCTAGCCTTCTGAGGTCTGTTCTGCTTTCCTGATTGTGACCAGTTTCTGCCCTATAGTGACTTTGCTCCAAGTCATATTCAGCTCCACATCCAGTCACTGACTTGTATTCTCCTATCTTTGCAGATATTTACCCCCAAGCACACGAGCAGCCCCGCGCTCCAGTTTGTTTTAATAAATGTTTTTAACTTTCCCACTGGCTGTCTTGCCTCGAATTCTGGTTCCAACATTCTGAGTTCATTACACCTAGAATTTCTAAAAGTATAATATGAAGCAAATCTTTTATTTATCAGGCTACTTTCTTGTGGAACAATCTTTCAATTTTACTCTTTGAGGCTCAAAACTTTCCTTTTTAATAAAGCTTATGGCTAAGAGTTTCTAAGGTTATCCTGAGCTATCTCTATGGTTTGGTGCTATAGGCTTATACCCCATTTACACTACCCTTGAAAAACTGTGCCGAGACCGGTCCGAGCTCAGTAACTGAGATAACTAGTCGAGTGTAAATGGAAAGCAAACTGAACTGAACCTAGCTAGACAAAACCAAACCGAGATAACTGCAGACCAGTTCCAGAGGTGGGCTCAGCTCGGTTTTTCCCTGGCTCGGTTCTCTGATAACAAGAGCGCATAAGCAGAACGCATCATCTCCGTCTGGCTGCACATCCCGATTCTCACTCCATTCCAGTAGTAGGCGAAAATGCCCCTCCAGAAGTTGTTTGCCAAACAACACAAAACAGAAGAAGAACAACTATAAACAACTAGAAACATCAGTTTATAGTTGTTTAGAGTTGCCATCTTCGCCTGACCCTCCGCAGACATCGAAGTACAGCAATAATAATCAAGCATAACTTTCTGAATGTGACAGGTGCCGCCATTTTGATTTGCTTGATTCCCTCCTTCTTCATCTTCTTCTTCTTGTGTTTTATGGCAGTTGGCAAACAACTTTTGGTGCATTAACGCCACCAACTGCTTGATTTCCTCCTTCAATACTGGCAGTAATACCGCAGATTGTCACTAGGAGGCGAAGAGTAGAGGAACCGAGATAGTGTGATGTGTAAACGGTCGTCAGAACCAAGCTCGGCCTGGTTAACTGATCTGAACTAGGACCGGTCTCGGTATGGATCGGTTTTTCAAGGGTATTGTAAATGGGGTATTAGACTGCTGGAGAACCACTTTTCATCGTTCTGCTTTTTTAATATCTATTTTCCCATTCTGCAGTATTTGCTAGTTTAACTTTACTCTATGTACTCTCTGATTTTTTTGGTCATTATAGTAGCTTCATCTTTTCCTCTTTGGCTTTGACATTCTTGAAAGAAAAATCAGCTGAGATGCTACCCTCAACAACTTCGACTGATAGGGTTAGGCCTGTATTTTAGTGCATAGTTCTGCATCTATCCTTGGCATAGCTATAGGCTCATACTTTTGGCATTAATATTAGCTTATGGTTAATCAAACAACCGTGTCTTTAGTAGACAAAGCCACCAATGGATGTAGTTTACCGTTATCTTTTCTCACATTTATGGATTTGTGGATCAGTGCTTCTATTTTCCCTTTGGTATTTCTGCATTAGGGTACTTCCACTCCCAGTCAGTCTCAGCAGAGGGCTGCTCATGATGAGCCTGGTTCTGCCTGAGGTTTCCATTGAAAGGGGAATTTGTCCTCTCCACTGTCGCTGTATGCATGCTTAGTATGAGGAATTGCTTTAGAGTCAGGAACATAATTCAAATGAATGTGTACTGTCGCCACATGCTTATCCAGGATAAGCACATCCCTCAAAGTCAATGACCGGCTGAATTTTTTTTTTTTTTAAGACAAAAAAACTTTTAAACAACCCAACCATATCATCTGATTAAATTGTCTCTTTAAACTGCCTTGGTATGACATGTCATAAATTGGCGTTATATAAATAAATTGAATTGAAAATTAAACTGAAAACTCTAATGGCAAACTTTCGGACTGCAGAGATCAATATAAACAATAGACAAAGTTTGTTGATCTGCTTAATTGTGTTTTTGTTGTTTTGTTTTTCCTGGACAAAGCAAACCCTGAAGCTAATCTATCATCATCTTGAAAGTATATCCAGATCAGTGCTTTTGCATTCCTTTTGAAAGTTTGCAATGTCTTCTCATCCATCTATCCATTTTCCGTCACGCTTATCCCAAGCGGGGTCGCCTATCTCCAGTTGTCTACGGGCGAGAGGCGGGGTACACCCTGGACAGGTCACCAGTTTGTCGCAGGGCATGTCTTCTCCCCCAGTCATTCTTTGCAGATGGTTATTCATGCTGAACCTTGATCCTAAAAACATCTGTATGAGGGATTACTCCTCCAGGTAGCAACAGTGGACATTCTCTGCATAGTGTTATTGACTTTGCAGTGTTCAATCATGCCTAGCATACATATAGGGAAAGTTGAGGGGAAAACTAATTGTACGTTTATTTTGCCTAGCCTGGTTTATGATGTGATGTAATCTGAAAAAAGCATTCCATCTCTCTTGTGCAGCAGATGTCCTTAAACAGACAGTGACCTGAGAACAAAATTAAGGTTCACTCTTCAATCTTATACAGCCAGTGACTCATTTTTAGTTTGGACATTTGCATCTCAGAGAGGTAAAAATGGTTAAATAATTGTATTATAAGAGTAGTTGTAGGGTGGCCAGATGTCCAGCTTTAGGGCGGACAGTCCGGATTTTCATTGAACTTTCCGGCGTCCGGTGCCGCATCCAGCCGGACATGTTTTTGTCCTCCTTTATGAGGCACTAGGCCTGTAGAGCAGATTTTTATTTATTTATATATATTTTTCTTGCTGGGCTGCAGCACAATATCCAATCATCAAAAATGCATCACTATCTGATCTAACAGATGATTAGCTAAGAGTGGTGGCGTGTCAGATAAAGATCTGCTTGTCATTGGTCACAAAAGTAAACAAGGATCAGAATCACTGATGCTAAGTATTACAGTCAGCGTCCTGTCAAAACCAGGACATCGTTTAACCCAGAATGGACAAAAGAGCGTGAATTTATGACCAAAGGTAGTGGAGATTCATTCCATGGTTTCTGCCACTTTGTCGATGCGATTTGGGAGCAGTCGAGGAAAAGCTGCAATGGAACGGCGTGCGAGTACCGATTAACATAAAAGTAATAAACGTGCAGCAACGAACTCTTCAATGTTGGCTTTTACATTAAGTTTTGTCGCCCCTGGATGCTAAAATAACTTGTGCAGAGCTGCAAGGTGGACTATACTATAAAACATCACTAGTCCTACGGAAGTGTAGACTGTGACTTCAAAGTGGATTTCAGTGATTCGCCCATAGCTAAAGGGATGACCATAAAGACAGGTCTGCTGTACACAGAGACACTTAAGATAAGTTCCCTAAAGGCTAAGGCTCTTAAAAATAAAGCTATACTTTTAAAGCAGTTAAATGTGTTTTCTACAATCTCTTTTGTTGTTTAAAAAATATTAAGCTATTTTAATATGAATCTTTCTTGTTAAAAAGATTTTTTTTAATGTTTAAGTCCACACATCTTATGCTTTGTGGTATTCTGCACTTTAAAGATTTATCTCGGTTGTCACTTTTTAAACACCGCAATGTATTAAATAAATACAAATGCTGGGACCAATTCTTTTTTACATTTCTTTAATATTTTGTTCGATTCAGCTACACAAGCATCCTCTTTAAACTACTAAGAATTGTACTATAAATGTGACTTTACCCGATTCTTATGTACACCTTAGTAATTTATTGATATGCTGCACAATGTCCTCCTTTTTGGTGCTATAGAAATGGCCACCCTAAGTAGTTGTCAAAACAGATAAAATATGTTATTCTTTGTGACTATTCTTATTTTGCAACAATAAAAATGTATGGCGCTTGAGTAATGTTCATTGATCTCTTTCTTGTTAATTACTGACACTATTATTTCCCCATCACACACACACACACACACACACACACACGTAACAGGAAAGGTTTTAGTGTTACCTCAACTTGTGCACTTCCTTCCCAGAGTAAAGGGAATGTAGCAGTGTAGGAACCATTGAGATGATCCAACACTTGCCCCGTCACGCCTGCAGAAAGGGTAGGGTTGTGCAGCCGAGCAAGCAGAACATCTCCCCCTGATTTTTTGGGACGGCTATGGAAGTCCATCATTTTTATAAAAACCTCAAGCTGATCGCCTAAACGCCAACTTTGACTGTCATTTTTTGGAAGAATTGTAAAGGTGCTGTGAGCAGGATCACTGGTGTCATTCAGAGAAAAGTTAGACGGTAGAGTCGGTGTTTCAGGCCAGGTAATGGACTCCTTCAAAAATTCAGACTCAAGAGTGTCCTCGGGTAACACAGAATGGTAGGAGCAGACACTGGTAGGCTTATGTGGCTCAGTCGTATATTTCAGAGTGATGTTGTTGGGTATCAGAGCCATGGTCGGGGAGACTTTCTTCTTTAACTAGAGGAAAGTATAGGAATTAAACAAATCAGGTGTCATACAAATGCAGTCTGTACAAAATACTGATTACTTTTGGAATGCTGCTTTGTCCTAATATAGGTACACCAGGAAGAATTAATTTTAAGTTCATTAAACTTCACTATGAATATAAAATATTATTTTCTATAAACTTTACACAATGACAATTCAAACCTAGTTGCATTTTCCTCCAATTGTTTGTTTTATGTTTTTTTTTAACTTATACTTCAAGACATTGTATCACTGACAGAAAGACCAGTGCTTTCCTGACTAGTACTTTTATCACAAAGAGGAAAATATAGTTACTGAAAAATGTGATACATTGTTGCTTTTACATTTGTGGAATCTCAATAAAGTTCATGTAAACAAATAAATCTGTACATTATAGAAAGCCTCAACCCACCATGAAAAGCTTATCTTTAACACTCAACTCAGTACTTTTAATTAACTTGGCCACTTCTGGCTATCATTTGTTTCACACTGTGTGTTCCACTTGGATTACTAAGAGCCCAAGAACTGACATGGGGAAAAAAGATATGAACATTAAGCAAAAATTCAATCTGGAAGATTCTTATCAGCTTCACCTGAGCCAATGTCCCTTGTTCAGCTCCAGCCAATCAACTCAGGGACTGCACCAGTCATCTTTCATGATGCCCTTCATTTAGTTCCTGGCCTTGCTTCCCTCTCCCACACAAAAGCAAACTAAAAGATCAAGTGTATTGTTACGCCTCTTTTGAACCTGATGGGCAGCCTCTTTTTGTCATTCGTGACCTTCCCTCACCTGTTGGCCGCTCGCACTGATCCCCTGGCTTCAGCCTGGACTCATTCCAACAGGCCCACAAAGGCTTTTCTCAAGCTGACTTTTAGTCCGTCCTGCACCAACTTCAACTCAGAGTCCATGGTGGGCGCTTCAAACCCTCACCACATCATGGCATGCCCTTTGCAGTGGGCACATTGGCTTCTAAACCCATCTTGGTTGGAGCATCGTACCCTAAACCCATCTCACCTAAGTGCATCACAGCAGGCTTATCATGGCTCCCACGCCACATCATGGTGGGCACAAGGTGACTTACAGTAACGCATCACGTTAGTCGATGATCAATGATCACCACCTACTTGGTCACTGATTTTTTTTTCTTTGCTTTAACTCCCCGCATCTCTCTGCACCTCCCCTCCTTGTTAAATGCTCAACATTCTCCTAGCCTATAAGTAGGCATGATCAGTGCCATTGATCTAGTGGTGGTAAGCCTTCCTTTACTTCTCCTCTCCATATTGTTCTTTTTTTCGTTTCTCTATGCCTGCAGGCACCCAGTCCATCAACACAAACTCATCAGCACACAATCTCTTTACCAGCTCTGATCGTTATAATCATTTTCCGTATTAGTATTGCATCATCATATGTGATAAAGCACTTTCACCTTTTCTCTCGACCAGTCTCTCCATTTCCCCATCTCTACCAGCGCATCCCACTGTGTCATCTCTTTCCATGTGCCCCTATATCAGTGCGATCAGCTGCACTGTTCAGCCTGATCTTGCTGAGCAATCAACTGCTGAGGCTTAGCATCTATGCAATCAACTGCACAGCTCAGCATTAGTGTTATCAGTTGCGCTGCTCTGCATCCCTAACTTCTATCCGTGCGCTCCTCTGGGGGGCTAGTCTACTAGCTCGGCCCGGCACCTTTTATGGGGGTATGACTACTCTAATCCTTTTCTAGGTTGGTCATCCGAGCAAATTTTTATTCACAGCATCGAAGTCTGCTGTGGCCCAAGGATAAATTTTTTCTCAATGAAAAGCACTTATTTGCTGCTTAATTGGATCACTCTGCACTGATCACATGAACATATTTGCATCTTTTCATCCTTCAATTGGAACTTGAGCTGAAACAAGTGTTCGAGACAAACATCAGTTGGACAGCAACAGTCCACACACACAATGGTATATCTAGTCTTCATACCTCACAGTCAATATTCTATTTAAATGCCTCACATGAAAGATCCTTGCAAAGCCAGGGTGATCAGAATCTCTTTATATTTTGTCCTACGCCTAAATTAAAACTCGATTATATTAGCCTTCTCTATCATGTTGGTTTGTTCTTCTTACTGTTACAGAAAGTGTGCTATTGGGGGAAAATATTTTAGAATTTTGTGTGCAACATATAATTATGCTGTGGCCACAAATAAGTTTGTCATGAGAACAAGTTTCGGCACAAATTAGATTTTGAGAGCACAAAGTAGTATTTTGTGGAAAAGATTAATAATTTGTGCACACAAAGCAGTACTTTGTGGCCACTAATTAATATCTAGTGTGAAGGAATTAGTATTTAATGTGAACAAGTCAGTATTTAATGGGCACAAATTATTGTTTCATGGGAATGAATAGGTATTTGGTGCACATGTTATATATAAAATGTTCCCCATATCAGTTCCTGGGCTCCATAGGTTACTGACCATTGGTTACATATGTCCATTGTGAATTATATTAACCCTTTTTCAGGCAGACTGTAGGTACTTTTAGCCTGTCTGTAGGATAAGATATACAGTCATTTTTTTAGTTTGGAAATACATCCAAATTATGAAGATTGGCCCATTGAGTGCATATCTATCACTCAATGTCTGTTTTCTTCATTATTATCAAACATTTCTTCAGTGACACCTCATTCTGTGAGAGAGGTATAAAAAGTTTCTACATCTTCATTTGTCTAACTGTTTGTTCTCATTCTTGCAGGAATTTATTAATAGTAGTGCTACTACTATCATTTGTACCAATCTTGTTTGTTAAATGAATTTATTCAGGCGCATATTTTCTGTTTACATTAACAAAAGTTAAATTAGAATGAAAAATTGCGATGTACGGCAGTGATTTTTAACCAGCCCTGGGAAATGATCTATTATCACCTAATTAACCATTGTAAGGTGTCTGTGCTGTAATTAAGTGTGACAGATAATGTAATACTCTTCTATTTCAGTGGGTGGCAGCAGATACAGGGATACATGCCTGTAAAGACAACAGAGGGACAGTAACAGGTTGGGATCTCAGCAAGGAGAGAAAGTGACAGTAATAAAGAAGTTTTTGAGAGGAGAAAATGCAAATGCAGAACAGGGACCTGGACAAAATTCTGACCCAGATGAAGGTTCAAGTATGAGTGGTTGACAAAAGAAAAAAGACAAGACAGAGAGCACAAGGCAATACAGTGAAATCTATCTTTAATTTGGATTTGTTTTCAATGGAGATGCAGCAGCACCAACTGTGTTGTGTTTGCTGTGTGGTTAGAAGCTTTCCAATAGTGCAATGGTGCCAAGCAAGCTTAAAAGGCTCCAAACGAAAAACTCTTTCACTCAAAACAGGGCAATGGACTATTTTGTATGTTTATGTACTCTCATGGTTTGAGTTCTGTTTCAGTTTTCCTTTTTCATTTTCATTGGTTTTTTTTCCATTTTGTCTTATTGTAGTTGTTTTTGGCTGTATTTGGGTTCTTATGTATTTCTTGTTTACCCTCTGTTGCCCTCTTGGGTCAGTCTCCTTCTACTAGCTCCCTTCTAAATTCTTCTGTCCAAACCTTTTCCTCAGCTGCTAATTAGTCCTCCCATTGTTTCTGTTCCCCATAAATACACCTCCTGTTGAGTTACTCATGGCTGGTTCCTTGTCATTTCTTTGCCCTTCATGTGTGTATTCCCTCCTGGAATACATCTCCTGGATTTTAGTATCTTCAATTTGTGGACTTTTACTTCTGCTGCCCTTTGGAACTATATTAAATCTTCAGTTTCCATCTCTGCATTTGGGTTCTGCTGCTCTCCTTCAGAGACTCGTCTTTGTCGCCGGCCTTGCGGCCGTCCTCCGGAGACTGAGCTTCGCCTTCGCCCTCTCAGCCGGCCTTCAGAGAATGTGCTTTGTCCTTGCCCACCTTTGGCGGGTTGTTTTGTGTTTTGGACTGACCCTGGGTGGGTTGCTTTGTTCTGGACTTTTTAGGGTGTCTGGTTTCTGCTCTTAAGTCGGGGACACTGTCATGGTTTTGGTTCTGCTTAAGTTTTCTTTTTCAGTTTTTATTGGTTTTATTTCCATTTTGTTTTATTATATTCTATTTTATTCTATTCTCCTTCTCCTAGCTCCCTTCTACATTCTTCTGTGCATACCTGTTCCTAGTTGCTAATTAGCCCTCCTTTTGTTTCTGTCTCCCATATATACACCTCCTGTTCAGTTACTGTTGGCTGGTTCCTTGTCATTTCTTAGCCTTTCATGTGTGTTTCCCCTGATTTCTCATGGATTGCAGTATTTTGTTTGTGAAATTTTGCTTCAGTTGCCTTTTGGAACTGTATAAAATCTTCAAGAATCCACCTCAGCTTCTGTCTCTGCATTTGGGTCCTCTAAAAATCTCCACGCAACCTTACTCATATAAACAATGAGAAACTAGTAACTTTTTGAGGAAAAACCACAAAGGTTAAATTGAAAACCCTCAAAGCTAGCTATCTTTTTGCTGAACTCGTAGGTAACTCATAAAACTCCCACACTGTGGCAGAAAAATTAAAACTGCCAGCTTGCAAAGATATTGTAAAAGATGCTTGGCCTTGATGCAACCAAAGAGATAGCTAAAGTGCCAGTGTTGGATAATGTTGTGTTGTGTGCATAGAGATCTTGAGGATAAGTTATCATTTTATTAACCTTCAACTTTTACAGAATGTTTTGACTGGGTTAGGGACCCATATATCCCAGCATCCATTGCTGGATAGGTCATGAATTTAAAGGAGCAAGAGAAACTCTTTGAACTAAAACAAGATTGTAGTTTAAAACTAAACTTTGCTGAATTTCTTTTGGACAGTTGTTGGTTATCTGTTGCCAAGGAGTTCCCAATTCTGGCCAACAGAGCTATTTTGACATTGCTCCTGTTTTCAGCAACACATCTATGTGAACTGAGCTTCTCTAAGGAGGACCAGTTTTATCATATTTAAAAATAAATAGATAAATAAATAAATCCTCAACAAATGAA